TTTAATCTCAACTCACCAATTCCCAGCATCTGACCTGGTGCAATGTCTCAGCACCGCTCTTCCATTTCGAAACATAGCTCTCCATATAGATCTCGATGAGCTTTATTCAGTGGACACCTTATTTTTTTCGATTAGTCCATTCCTTCATAGAGATAACCTGAAATTAGTACTAGATTATCAAATCAGCTAACATCCGACCTGGTACGATTCGTCCATAAGTACTCTCTAAGTTCGACATAGTACTCTCCAAATAGATCTTGGATATGGGTGCGGGTGTGGATCTGGATGTGGGTGTGGGCGATTATCTTGTATTGACCAACTCCAACACCCACACCCACACCCAAAACGTTGAAATGTTGTTTTTTTGTAGATCTAAATACTATGATCTGGTCGAACGTCGAAATTACAATATAATATTGTAATTAATTATTGCAATATACTGTTATAAGACAGGTGATGATTTTTACGTAATTTGGACGATATAGATATGTATCGAAAATAGATTTCATGTGTATTTTGTTGTTAGTTTTATTTGAGTTTCTTAACTAATACAACCAGTATGAAATGAAGAAATAAAAAATTATTTTGTTTCCTTTATTTAGTGAAAAAAATAAAAATCCAAACAAAATAAGTTTTTTTCATTTTCCAGATAAAATGATAAATACATTAGATACATTACCAAATGAAATGCTATTCAATATATTTTCTTATTTATCATGGGATGAAATCTTAATATCATTTTGATCAATAAATAAACGTTTAGATTCAATTATTTGTTGAATATTTTCGTTAAAAGAAAAAAGGAATTACTTTCAATGAATCAAATTTATCTTATATGAAATTTTCATCAATATTATTTCCATTAATATTAAATTCGTCATCTCTTACATCTTCTATTAAATTTATTCATGTTGATGATGATAATTCAATTTCCTGTGATTTAATTTATAAAGATATTTTCTATCAAGATAATAAAGTAAATATTTTTTTTTCCTAATCTTCAATCACTTTCTATTACTTCATGTTTATTATCTAAGCCATTAATTGAAATATTATATGAACTTAGTCAATATCAATTAAATGAACTTACATTAACAATTACAAAAGATCTGAAGTATAACAGTGATTACAGTCAACTACCTCAATAATTCTTTTCTGATCGTGGTAATTGACAATTTGTTTTCAAAAAAACACAATATCTTAGAGTTCAACATAAAACAGTCTATTCTAGAGAACGATATTTGTTCTATCAAAATTTGAAATCTTACAAATCAATAATAAATCGAGGAAAATAAAAATAAATGTCAAGATAATCTAAACCATACACTTGATAGGACTAATATTCATTATCAGTAACTTCATAAATCAAAAAATGATATGACTTCCATGGATTTAACATGAAAAAAAGAACATATTCTAATGAGGGTGTGGGTGTGGCTGTGGGTGGGTGGGTGTAGGGTGTGGATGTGCGTGTGGATGTGGATGTGCGTGTGGATGTGGATGTGCGTGTGGGTGTGGGTGTGGGGTGTGGGTGGGTGTGGGTATGGGGTGTGGGTGTGGGTGGGTGTGGGTGTGGGGTGGGTGTGTGGGTGTGGGTGTGGGTGGGTGTGAGTGTGGATGAGTTTGGCTGTGAATGAAAAGAACATTAACATCCACACCGACACCGACACTCACACACCCACCCACACCCACACCCACATCCACACCCTTTTTTCTATATATTCATCACATATTCCTTTTTCTCATTATAAATTTAATATCTTTGTAACTCATGATTATTTATCGAATTTCACGAATAAACACACTCTGCTACAATATCATCTCATACTTATAATTAAATCATTTTATGCTACTATGTGACTAGGATGGCCCATAAATTCGACAAAGAAATCATGTTTCATCTTAAGCATATTTTTAGCTAATATTTTGGTATAAATGCATTCTGCAGAACCATATCCAGTTCTGACAAATGAAATCAACTTCTTTCAGTTCGTTACTATTGCCTCTTAGAATAATACTTCTGCCAGCAAACGGTCTTATGAACTAATACTAGTATGAGCAGTGGCTGTTTCATATTCTCAATAAGTTTTTGTTGAAAGACACATTGTATGCATATTAAAAATCTCAGAGCATTTCAAGATATTGTTGTGACTGCCGTGATATAAAAATCAGAATTTTACGATATATTTTTATAAGGCTTCATTTGATCAAAACGTTAGCGCGAAGTAGCAATTTTAGATGCAGATATTATCTATCCTTTGAAGCTGAGCATATTTGGAAAGTCAATGATAACATTATTGTGCTAGAGGAGATTCGGTACATTGATAATCTCAAAGTTGTCCCGGGAAAGGTAGAATAGTATACCCTTGCTTTAAACTCTTCAGTCGAGAGTTAAGCGAATCGCACAGCGACGAGCGTTACTTGTTATTTATCATGCAACATTAGCGAACAGCGAAACATAGACTTCTTTGTCTCATTTTGAATCTCTTTCTATCGAATCACTGTTTGCTGTAATTTTTAGACTTTATAATATAAAAATGTGCCAGTTGCGCCCCTTTTTATCTAAGAAAGAAACGATATCACATAACTATTGATGGAATTATCATGGCTGTTGATTTCTTCCTCATTTCAAGTGATGATATAATATATGCATAAATCATTAGTATTATACCGAAATAAAGAATGTCGTGTTAGTAGTAGTATCCACAATTCATAAATCAGCAATTCAATGAAAATCAAGAAATTCAAGATATATCCATGAGTCATAGACTGACATATTGAGAGCAGCAATAAATTCAAGGAATTCGAGATCTATATGTGTCTTGAATTTCTTGATTTATCTCAAATTGCTAATTTCTGAATCGTGGATATATCTCGAAAACGTGGAGGATCATAATAAATAATGAATATATTCAATAGATTCTTCTGATTACCTTGTCGCTTGTAGTCAAACACATGATTGGCAAGCGTTACTTTCCATATTGATACCAAGGTTGCAGTGAAGAAAGAAGAAAAAAAAAGATGCGCTTGTCAATTGACGTCTGACGCACAACCATCAAACGATTGGTGGCAAGAAAAAATAACGTAATAGAAAAAAACGAACGTATTGATCCAATATTGTATATAAAAAAAGACGAAGCTACTGTAATTGTAACTTTTATAATTATCGATAGGTAGTTAACTTGTTCGTATAAACACTAGTGAAGCTTTTTTTCTCACAGACAAAAACTATCAATGCCAATTCGAACATATCTATTTAATCGATTTAATCTTAAAAAATTTCGACTCAATGGCATCGAGCCATCGCTGGAAATGCCATCTAAAGAAAACCTACGACAATCTTTTTCTGATCATGTCCTATATAGTGATGATCAACTTCCGCCAAAAGTTGATCTTCGACCTTATATGACACCTGTTGAAGATCAATCAAAAATTGGTAGTTGGTAAGAAGAAAAATTTTGAAAACAAAATTGATTTTGTTTTTCATTTATTTAGTTCGGCTAATTCACTTGCGGGTACCAAGAGAACGATATATTTTTCATAAACATTTCATATGTTGCTTTTTATTTTTGTCACAGGAGCTTATGAATATTTGTTAAAAAAAACGAGTGACTCGAACATGGATGTCAGTCGTTTATTTATCTATTATAATGGACGTGCTAAGAAGGACCCGACAGCTGAAGTAACTGATAGAGGCTGTTCAATGACATATGCAATTGAAGCATTGGAAGAATTTGGTACTTGTTTCGAATCACTTTGGCCTTATGATATATCATCTGTTAACGTAAAACCCTCTGATGAGGCGTATGACCAAGCTAAAGATCATCAAATTACTTCAGCATTCAAAGTAAATATTGATTTAACTGAAATGAAATCATGCCTTGCACAAGGCTTTCCATTTGCATTTGGTTTACGATTGTATAAATCATTCGATAAAGCAGCTAAAACTGGTGTTGTACCAATGCCAAATGAAGATGAACAAGGTCGAAGTGAACACGGCAGGTGTGATTCCAGCTTTTATAAAAATTCAATGATAATAGATTGACTTTTCTCTATAGACATGCGCTGTTAGCTGTTGGTTATAGTGATAATTCAAGAGCATTCATTGTTCGAAATTCATGGGGAGAAGATTGGGTAGATGCAAGTTTGTTCTTAAGAATTATCTGCATTTGTTTCTCTTTTAGGGTGATCAAGGATATTGTTATATTCCATATGATTATTTGACAAATTCGGCTTTGTGTTTTGATGCATGGACCGTTCGTCAAGTAGAAAATGATGATATAGGTAAGGACAATTGGGATAATGATGACTCTATTGATTATCGATGGAAAGCAGCAGAAGATGATAATGATAATGATGATCAACATGAAATTCAAGACATCGAAGAAGATGATAGAGATGAATATGAATACGGTAATCGTAGATCATCAAACAGTAGTTCAGAATAGTAATCCATTAATTCCAAATGGTAAAATAGAACTAATAGACAGCTATCAAATAATATTAATATTATTTTTTAGACGATAATTGTCAAAATAATAATAAATAAAATTATATTAAATGAATCTCGAAAGATCATTCAATTTTTCTTTTTTACTCCAGTGTAATACTTCTTAAACTGAACAAGTATTAAATTAAAAGAGTAAAATTCTTTCGAATTCCTATAAATTATTCTCATTCATACGTGATAGATGACAACTAAAGAAACAAATTACCTTAAATATTATATCATCTATAGTGTTCCAGTTGAAAATAAAAGAGAAGAATCAATTTATATTTGTACATCACCTTTCCATCTTGAAAAGTATTCATGAGTCTGTACTTGATGTTTAAGGTAGATCCCGATTAGATATTGAAAATAACAGACGGACAAGAGTACGTAGGCCTTCTCAACAGAGTTAGAGGCATTATGCTACAATTTTAGCCTATAGTATAGTATAGTATGGACAAAAGAATAGAATAGTAATATTTTGTCCATAGACAGACCTACGTGTAAGTAGGGTGTCCTGAAAATTTCAACTGAAAAAGTGTCTCCTGAAAGGTATTAAACTTACAACATTCATGCTTTTCTACTAAACGTGTTATAAGCTAAAATATCAGTAAATGTCTATAATTCGGTAGGAAACATCTAGGTGCCCGTATCCTATGAGGAGTTTTAACACCTCATTGGAATCTACCTGATGCATAGAGTCTGATTTCAAAAGCGATTTTCGAGTTTAGCTGATTTCTTTGTAAGGCTGGAAAAAAACCTGTTAAACAAAATGTCAATTCATTCGGAGATACAAAAATTCAAGCGCAAGTGATGAATTACTGACTTATTTCTTAATTTTGGCTTAAAATCCATTGATAGAAAAAAACAAAAAAATGTCACATGAAACTTTTTTCAAAAGTCAGTATTTAAAAATTTCATCTCTTTGATAATCTATTAACAACATATTTACGTAGTACAAAGTGTTCATCTCAAACTTTTCATCATTATAGTCTTTATAGAATACGATTATTTATCACCAGCAAAAAAAAGATTTTCTACCTAATATGTTATCAACGAAAGATCAATTAAAAATCTTCATGTCATAGAAAAATAAATCGTAAATTTATTTTAATGACAGATTCTTTGTATTTTTTCGTAGATAATTTCTTTTACGAGTTTATCAATATTTAACGAAGAGTTCGAATGGTCTTAACACTGATATGAGTCATTTGTGTATTGATTATAAATGCAAGACTCGTAGATAAGAACTATGATTCAATGAACGATTTTCGTTAGTAAATGACAGATGCTATTGAAAAATTAGAAGGTTTCATATGATCTAGTAGTCCTCAAACGAATTATAGTGATTATATGATTGAAAAAATGTTAATAATGTTTTCTAGAATCAATGTTAGATATATGAAGCTTTGTTTTGTAGACTCTTTAAATCTCTGTTTCTATTAAATTTTTATTAATTGATTTTCTAAGAACTTATAAGGATTACTTTGATGATCAGAGTTCTTTTCAGGAATACTGAAAAACAATAAATTTTTGAATTTCGATTTGAAAATGTGCACAGACACAAACGTTTATGAGAATAGTTTATTGTGAAAATTTTCGGTCATTTAATTTTCTCCTATTCTGAAATAAGAAAATCGAATTTACCGGTGTATGTATCAGCAGTGTGCAAGACAAGTTTTCAACATACCAATATCTTAGGATAGATAAAATGGAAAAACTTGAAATTTCTACAATCAACAATTTTAGCAATAGTCTGTCTACATGGTAAATTCTAAGTCAAAATTCAAAAAGCGAATTTTTTTCTCGTTGCTCCCGAAGAGGAACCACGGTTTTAACTTAAGAAATGGTGTAAAAAAAGGTAATATCTCCGCAACAGTCAGTTAACAGCTTGAACTCTTTTCATGGTATTTATAACTTGTTATAATCTACATAATTCGCATAGTCTCACCCCAAATCAATCAACCAGTTGAGAAGCTTTTCTCATTAGTAGGAATTTTCTCGTATAAATTCTAGGACGTATTCTAATGTGTTGATTGTGACTTTGATCATTGTGCTAATACTTATCGTAAGTTCGTAGCTTGATCTCGTATCTACTGTTTCATCGCGAAACACTATAAGGTATTCTGTAATGATAAAGATACATTTTTCAATGAAAGCAAACCACTCTTTCTAAATAATAGATATCTAGAACGTACAAAAATTATTCAATTACTTTAAAGACTAGTACAAAAGCATTTTTCATCGATTATATCTTCGTCTGTATATGTATGACATAGTATATAATCTTTTTACTTCTATATGATATCGATTTAATTGGAAGAAGATAAATGTCGAGAAGTTCATTCAATGAATCAGTTTTAAAGCATATTATCTTTTTGAATGTCTTCAGTGATTGATTTTGATGTTTTGTTTCCCTCTCAATCTTTCATCGAAAAGCTATTCTCAAATGAACGTTAAACTCAAAAATAATATCGGTCATTGGTTGCCATCAATATTTGAATGAATTCGAATTATACGAAAGAACAAATATCTAGGTAACTAGATAAATCTATTATCGTAGCTGTTTAATTTCTGAAGGATATCAATAATTAGTTCGTCACTTAATAAGCCTTCTCATTTTATAGTTTGATGCTTCACATGAATAGAAGAATCTCTCATGTCATAAATAGCATATATACGTCAATAATTATTCATCGTATTCCTTTTTTATAATTAAAACAAACGAATGACGTCTTGTCATCAAGTAATGAATGATGACATTTCGATTAGAAAATAAACGAGATATATTTTTATCATACTCTTTCACCTTCATATTAATAAATTGGCGAAGGATCAAAAAAAGATATATATATTTTAAGCAAAAAATAGATACTGATTTACTTACAACTATATATATATAGAAACAAACTTTTCTTGCGATCAGATCAATCGATTTCTTTTTTGACAATGAATTTATTATTCTAATATTTATACAATAATAATATGCCACTTAAAACTTATTTAATAAATAAAACAAACAATAGACGATTTCGACTTGGTGGTATTTTACGACTGAGTCGCTTACCAGATAAAAATCAATTATGTCAAAGATTTCGTCAACATATGGTGTTACAAGCTAATGAACTTCCACCAAAAGTAGATCTACGATCACATATGACACCTGTTGAAGATCGATCCAAAATTGGCTGCTGGTAAAACAATAATTTCTATCATTTAAAGATTTTTATTTGTTTTATTTAATTTGTTTTAGTACAGCTAACTGCCTTGCTGGTACAAAAAAACAAAATAATTAAATCTGTTCTATTTTATTCTTGATTTTTCGTTTAGGAGCTTATGAATATTTAACAAAGAAATTCAATGGTCTTACTACAGATGTTAGTTGCCTGTTTATTTATTATAATGCACGAGTTAAAGGTAACAATTCGGAATCAATCGAGGATACTGGTTGTTCGATGGCAGATGCCATTGAAGCATTAGAAGAATATGGTACATGTCTTGAATCGATTTGGCCTTATGACACATCACTTGTGAATACACGTCCTAATAATCAAGCTTATCAACAAGGAAAAAACCATAAAATACATGACGCACTTAGAATTGATATTGATTTAAATGAAATGAAATCTTGTCTTGCACAAGGTTTTCCATTTGCATTTGGCATAGAATTGTTCAGTTCATTTGATAAAGCAACACAAACAGGCATTGTGCCAATGCCAAATCCGTGGGATAGTAGCCGAAAATCACATGGGAGGTTTGTTCGTATAAAGTTTTAATGAATTGAAAAGCAAAAAAAGATTCGTTTTTTTGTAAAGTCATGCTATGTTAGCTGTTGGTTACACTGACCAATCAAAAGCATTTATTGTTCGAAATTCATGGGGAGAAGATTGGGTGAATATGAGTTTGTTGGTAAGAGAATTATCTGCATTTATGTTATACTTTAGGGTGATAAAGGATATTGTTATATTCCATATAATTATATGACTAATTCAGATTTTTGTTTTGATGCATGGACAATTCGAACGTTAATGAATAATAAATTTGGTCAAGAACATTGGTTTTTTGCTGATGATTATAATTATCTTGATGGTAATCAGAATCATTATTTGAATGATACTGATGATGATGATGATGATGATAATCATATAATTGAAACGTTGGATGAAAATGATGATAATAACAATGATGCATGTATTAATATCAATCAAGATATTTGGTGTTATGATAACAATTCTAGACGCACAAGTTATAATAACAATTCTAGACGCGAAAGTTATGACTGTTTGAATTCCTATCGAAATGTTGAAAGTTTGTTTTTCTGTATAGATCAATAAGTATTTCCTTATTTATTTTTTGTTTAATTAAGGAAATTGCTATTCAATAAATGATGTTAATTACAATGATGATAAAAATCAAGATAATGAGTATAGTAAGTCATACGATTATTGATCTACGTATTCTTTTAAAACACAAAAATTAATTAATCGTTAAGGTTATGTAAACGATGATTTTAATTCAATTAGAAAATATTCATACACAGAAAACAATCAATATAACAATGACAGAAATTATTGTAAGTACTAATAAAAATTTTTAAAATGAAAATTACGTATATTTATAAATTTTTTAGATGGTGGCTTTTTAGATTTTGATTAAATAATTAATTAACGTTATTTCAAATATTTTTCAACTATGTAATATTATTTTCTAAAGTGTACAATAAATATGATAATCCCTTGATAAAACAAATAAAAAAACCACACATTTATCTTTTGTTGCTCTCAATGCATTAAAAACAAATAAAAGATAGAAAAAGGAATCAATAGATTGCTTAATGATGAAGATGAGCTTTCTATTAAAGGAAAAAAAGATATTTTTCCTAATAACGGACATCGTAAATCAATATATGTTCGACGATCAAATAAACGAGCATGAGTTATTCCATCTGGCATCAGACATGTTGTTGATTGAAATAATGGTGATGAGTATTTTTTTTGATAATCTACAAATGAAAACATACGTTGATAAGGGCGAAGATGTGAACAATCACATTTTGGTGTATTAAATAAAGTAATAAATGTTGAATTGATTAATGTTTTTAAAATAATTTTCATTAAATCAATTGAAACAATTGGAAATTGTTCTGGATTTGGTATAATAAATTGTAAAGGAATATTTTTCATACGGATAGAAAATAATTTTCTGGAATTATTCCATTGTTGAGATATAATAATCCATTGATTTATGGTTAATGATTGTTTAAGTGTAGAATCTAAATTTGATGATATTAAATTAATTGACTGAAGATTTGATAAATAAAATAAATCTTCTAAATGTTCAATATATTTAATTGGATTATTTTGTAAAAATAATGAAATTAAATTATTTAATGATTGAAATTGTATACCATCAATAAATTTTATATGATTATTTGATAGATCAAGTATTTGCAAATGATTTGAGAAATTTTTTTTGAAATTTGGAATTTTATTTAATTGTGTATTACTTAAATTTAAATGTATTAAATATGATAAACATGATAAATCAATATATTGAGAATCAAAATATGAACCACTTAAATCAAGTATTTGAATATTTGAATATTTGCATAATTGAATTGGCCATCGATTAAATGAATTAGGAGCTATTATTTTTGTTATATTGTTTGTAGTTTTTGAATTAAATATAGGTAAATCATATAATGTATGTGAACAATTGAATAATTTAAATGAATATTGTGTAAAATAACATTTACATGGTGTATTTGGAATGCATGAAGAAATATTATAAGACTTCGTTAAAGTAATTGCAACGAAAAGAAGTATGAGAAGTTGATGTACGTTAGACATTTTTATTCACCGAATAAAATGAACATAGATTGTTCATCTGTTATTTTTTTTTCAGACTGTTCGATTAATACATCTTCAGACATTATTTGTAATGTAATACTACACATGTTTTTGCTTTCCATTCAGTCGGTTGACTCGACGTGACAATGAACAAATAATAAAGCTATTGTATATAATGCAATTGTCCGTGTTGAAACTCAACTGTCTAGGCTATTCTTGTAAAGATTTGATTGACAATTCAAACAACACATCCTATGAGATTTGATGTATACATTTGCTTTTAACTTGAACTTGCTCATGTTGATTTTTAGATTGATAAAGATTGATCATGGTAGTCCTTATGACGAGCTACTTGACGAGAAAGAAAAGCTTGAATCACGAAATATAAATTTTTAGTACTATTAACACTATATAGATTAACATTGTCTTCATTGAATAATGGCTCATCAGAATAAGACAAATTGATCGGTTAAATCATCGAAAATAATACAATCTTTGCTATACAATATTCTGATCTTCATTATTTTTCTTTTAAATTAAATAGAAATCTTTTTCATCAATTAATAAAATGATAAAAAGTCTTTTAAAGATAGACAACCATCCTTCAAGCCTCATATTTCTATATATGAATCTTCTATACTTATTTATTCGTTCATGTCTACACAATGCACATTACACTGTTAATATGTTATGCAAACAAAGTAATTTAAGATTCAAATAAACGATTCGGTGTATTTCTTTTTTCTGTGGTATTGTATGACTTCCTGGATAAACATTTTTTTGTCAAAATGACTATGAACTCTCGCTTCTTTTTAACAAGCATAGATAGTTTTGAAATAACTTGAAAAATTAACCGAAAAGACTTTCTTATTTGTTAATGCCTCTAAGACAAAGGCACTACTGGTACATATTGTAGTTTCACCAAAATATTCAAGATTGGAGTACAAGTCTTCATCGGTAGAATAATCCAAAAAAATGATATTAATATTAGGAGACAAGCTTTTCTAGCATATGTTTTTATATGGCCTTCTTGCATTGATAAACAAAAGAACAAATGGAACATGTTTTTTGTTTATAAGTATTTTAAAAATACGTCTAAATTACGGAGTCTATTTACATACAAAAGCATTTCATTATACCATTTTGATTTACATTGCTTCAGCTGTTAACATAAGTGATTATCTATTATATGTTTTACTCAGTCTGACTGCTCATGCACTTTGTAATCACAGCTTTCGATTTTCTATATCTATAATTTCTTTTTTCTTCTTTATACTTCTATGTGTACGTCTATAATGTACGCTTGATATCGTTACCTAACAATTGTTTTGTCACATTTTCTTGTGAACCTCAACATGGTAGAGAGATAAGCGAGTCCAAGTTATGACTCGGACTTGTATCTAAAAAAAAATGAAAAAGCTGATAATTGCACATCTAAAACAGTTTTCGAAGTAATTGAGAGTTTTCTACAGAAATAAAACGTAACCAGTCTTCTTAATTCATATTAATCTCTTAATAAGCTTGCTAGAAACATCATTCCTATTCCTGTTAAATCCGCATCTGTTGAACATGTATATTCTCACAATGATCATCTAATGAAATCGCGTCATTCAAATTTTTTACAAGTTAATAGTTAGATTCGAACGTCTTTGAAATATAATAAGGCATTAAAATCATCGACATGCACTAACTGTAGATAGGAGTTCATAAATCAAAACGTAATTATATTGATTTGATCCTTCTTTTACAATTCTAGCAGCTTTTTTTATATTATTACTATTCAATTATTCACTATTTGTAATTCCTGTGAAAAGTTCGAGAATAAAATAGCAGCGTAAGTTAAAATATTTGTCTGATTCTCCAAATCTTCGTCTTCCGATCAGAATTTTACATTGAATTATATAGAAAAGAAATTTGGAAAGAAAAGACAAAAAAAATACTGATGTCTATTGCTTCTATTGTTGTGTAAAATAATTATCTATACTCTTGCTTATCTTTTCGTAAGCATTGCATCATTTCGAAAAAAATCTACAAGTCTCTTTGTTTGTTTTGTAAAGTGTGCAATTAAAATTGACTTTATTTTTAAATATCTGTTTTTAAAAAATCTATTATTTGTGAATAATTGGTCACGAGGAACAAAAAATGTTGTTTTCTATAGTAGGTGAGACAAAATGATTGGAAAAAGAAATCCTAGAAATTCAAAGTGTTTTCAACATATACGTCGTGAAGCTCTTTACAAAAGTTAAAGTAAAAGAATCTCCAATCTCGGATAATGGAGTTAGAGAAAGATGAAATGAAAGACGTTCAAATGTCTCATTCATCTGAATTCATTTCCTTTCTATACCTAAACAATAATTACATTTGATATACTTTTAACTCTTTCTGGAAATTTTTCAAATATCCAAAGAATCAAATTGTTTCCTGTTATGCTATTGAAGAATGAATTTTGTATAATGAACTTGATTGAAGTCGTGAACTTGTGTTTTTTGGAATGTCTACATCATTTTTATAATGAGAGAGTATGACAGAGAATTGCATGATGCATTTTCCAAGAAAGCATTCATTTTCTACGCCTCCCATTGTACTTTTCTGAACACTCAAGAGAACATATTAGAAGGATCTTGTAGTGTGGGTGTTTTAGAGAATTCAACGGTTCATCTTTTGAGAAAATAATCAGGTCCTAAGGTCGAAAAAAAGAAAGTGTGTAGTCAAAAGACTGAGATTGCCATTCTTTATGTGCCATTCGTTATGATAAAATAATAACTCAGGTCCGATCGAGTTTAATATCAATACAAACTTCTCATATGTATATACATATTTGTACTAGCTCACAGCAACTTGTATGAGGCATTTTGTTTTTTTGTCCAACAATTAGATCAGAGGACATATAGAAAAGAAAAAAGAGACAAATGGCAATATTGAAATAGTGATTACATCTCTATTTCATTGAATAACACAACTAGAATATCGAACTATATATACATGCAATGAAGATCGATCGAGTCGATGCAGAATGTTAGTGTAGACATCACATTTTCTTTCAATATCAAAATGATTGATTTATCCGAGAACGATGTTTGTATGATGCAACGAGAAAAAAATCTTCTCGCTCTCTTGTCTGTTTTATCATCATATAAACTTGACATATTTTCATGACGAACAACACATTTGCTTCTTTTTTAGATAAATAAAGAAAAAAAAGTTAGAATGTATCGTTTCTTTTTAATCAAATATGTACAGTGATCAATATAATTTATCAACGGTATGTAATTTGGATTAAATTTTATTTTCATTTGTGTACGTCGCTTTTTTGTTTGATTATAATAGACTTTCGACAGTAATCGTATGAGTGAATCATCTTTTCGTTTCAATGATTCTTATTATCTAAATTCCTTACCGTATTCATCCTATAGTACAAATTCTTATCCATTTCGTCAACAAACACATTCTCATTTGACATCATCAAATGTTTATTTTTCATCTTATCAACATCCGTTCTCATCATCAACAGCTCAACTTACTCATACAAATGTAATATCCTATCCAAATTATGATACAACTTACTTAAATGTTGCAGTAGCAGCAGCTGCGTGTCAAAATGGTTATCAAAATCAATATCAACATAATAATACAGCTAATGATTCAATTGATATTAGTTTTCCCAGACATATAGGTGGATTGTATGAAAACAGTAATGAACAAGATATTGAATTAGATCTTCCTCAACAAAAATCATCCATATCGATAGTTCAATCAAGCAAAAAGAGAAAGTTTCAAGATGAAGCCACGAGTAAGCATAACTGTTTTTCTGAACTATCGACAAGAAATTTTGTAACACATTTCTATCAGTATAGAATGAAGAAAAAGCACGAGAATTTCATTGTCTAATTGTAGCTCGTCTAACGTAATAAACATTCATATTTTTTTTTAAACGACCTTCATTTCAATAGAATCACAATCTGAATCTGAACTTTGTCGAGTATGCGATGATATTAGTTCCGGATATCATTTTGGTGTATTTACATGTGAAGCATGCAAAGGATTTTTTCGTCGTTATTCAAAAAAATCAACTATTCTTGAACCATGTCCTATACGATGTTGTATAAATAAAAATAATCGCAATAATTGTGCTGCATGTCGTTTTGATAAATGTAAATGTGTCGGTAAGAAGAATTAAGTAATGTATAAATTAGTAGTCATTATTGATTTTAAAGGTATGGCTTTAGAGAAAATTCGATTCGGTAAACCACCAAAAATTTTTCGTTCTTCATCATCGACATCAAGTGTTAAACTTGAACCAAATAATAATGATTTCCAATTAATGTTAAAATTATTTGAATGTTATCAATCATTTGACGAATATGAACAACAAACAACAACAAATTCTCATTCATCAATTATATTTCAATTTTGTCATCGTTTAGCTGATATTGTTATGCATGATAATGAATGTGTACCAGAAACATTTCTTGCACGTTTAAAACGGCATGAATCAGCAATCAAATTTTTAATCACAGGTGAAAATGATCGGAATTTATCGTCATGGAGTAAAGAACCACAAGCATGGATATTTGCACATAATGAACGGTGGCGTCTTATTATGATTTTACTTATATTAGCTTTTGATGATGAACAAATCGGGGGTGGATTATTTGCTATCATATCATCATTAGACATGAACGAAAATATATTGCATTCATCAAATGATACAGTTATTGAAAGAATTTTACGTTTATTTGAACTTGAATGTGATCAAGAAAAAGAAGCTCGTGCTTATACAGAAGGAACAAATCCATATACGAATAGTTTAGCTATTGAGAAAAATATTAAATATATGAAAGCACAATTTGTTTTACGTTTTATTGATATGATGGCAAATGATATGATATCGAATAGAATTTGTTCATCCAGAATAAATAATGATTTAATAAATTCATATTTAATTTCAGAAGATAATATTTATGGAAATACAAATGAATTAATTTATTTACCATGTGGTG